AAGGACACTAAGGGCCTGCTCTAAGGGCACTAAGGACCAGCTCAAAGGGCACTAAGGACCAGCTCAAAGGACACTAAGGGCCTGCTCTAAGGGCACTAAGGACCAGCTCAAAGGGCACTAAGGACCAGCTCAAAGGACACTAAGGGCCTGCTCTAAGGGCAGAAATACTAAGTAACTACATCTCTACTGTGACTCACTCTAGTCCATGTGTGAAACACTTTCTGTGCTGAAGAAACACGACTCTGGGCCTCCTTACTCTCTGTTCATCTAAGTGCATTTTATTTGCTACATGTCTTTAAAATATACATATCTTAAGAATGGATTACTGTGTTACTATTTTTTGTTTATTAAGTTGCCAGAAGTAGGTAAAGTTTTGGTTCATTCCATGCATGATGCAACTTTCTTTCAGGACGGCACAGAGGGTATAAAGACGGATGGGGGAACAGGTGGTACTCCTGCAGAGAGAGCGACCTTCTGCGCTTGCAGCGAGGCGATCGCATTGTGTCAGTCATGCATTGATTACATTCCTGTGTCTTTGCAGCCTGGCCACTGTTCCCGTTTAACGGGAGCAGGACCACGGCCACCCACTCCGGGCCCGACGTCTCCAAGGTGACACTCCTTGACGGGCTGGAGATTAATTGCCTCGACAAGTCAAGCGGATTGTCCGTTACCTTGAAGTGCCTGAAAGCAAGAAGCAGCGCACGGATACGGTAACTCAACCCGTACCATGCAGGAATGAAGACGAGATCGAGAAAGTTTCACTTCTTTTTTTTTGAGGGGGGGGGGCAGAGAGAGAAAGAGAGAAAGTATGTGTTATGACTTTCTTGCTCCAGGAGCCTTGGCTCAGTGAGAGGACAAAGAAAATAAACGCTGTTGTGTGCGGGGGGGGGGGGGGGGGTCCACGCCGCTGGCCTCCATTGTTCCAGGAGGCCGCGAGCTGTCAAAACACGCCAGGTTGGGTGTGGGGAGCACCCCCACTCACACGCAGCACAGAGGGCCAGCTTACCTGGCTTGTACGTGATCCCGGGCGGGAACAGGAACCCCTGCTGGGCCGCGGCTGCCGCTGCCAGGGTGCGCTGGTCATGCGGGAAGATGGGGATCATGAGCGGAGGCATGTGACCCTGGACCTGCTGAACGGAAAGATGGAAGAGATCAGACACTGGCAAAATGCAGCCTGAAAGGCCCTGGAGGCAAGCTCTCCACAATGCCCAGCTCTGGCCCAGCCCAGGTCCTGCAGACATGCTCCCCACTCCCACAATGCCCGGCTCCGGCCCGGCCCAGGTCCTGCAGACATGCTCCCCACTCCCACAATGCCCAGCTCCGGCCCGGCCCAGGCCCTGCCTAATCCCCACCATTTTCCCGTTATCACATCAAAGTCTGGCCTGTATAAAGGGCAAGAGTAATTCTGCCCAAGGGAAGGAGCCCCCCGCTCCCCCAAACGGGGCGCACAGTCTGGGGAGTGGGACAGGGTGTTGGACAATCACTGGGAGGCAGGGCTGTCTTTTTGAGCTGTCTCGAGCACAGCATGGAACTGCAGGTGGGGGATCGGCTCACAGCACTGGTGTGTGTGTGTAGGGGGGGATTATGTTTATATTGCATTGTGGGGACTAAATACAATGTCATAAAAACCTGTTAATTTGACGTTGTAGGGACCATTTTTCAGGTCCTTACAAAGATCTATGAATCCGATCAAAAAAGAAAAAATGGCAAAAGTCTTCTATTTAGTTTGCTGAAGGTTAAGGTTAAGGTTAGGGCTGGGTGGGGGTTAGGGTCGTCATGTTGGGATTAGAGTTTCCCCCATAGAAATGAATGGAGAGTCCCCACAAACATATAATTACATACCTGTGTGTGTGTGTGTGTGTGTGTGTGTGTGTGTTTGGAGTGCTCGGAAGTGAGGAAGAGGGGCATACAAAGCAAGGTGGGTGAAACAGCTTTAATCTGTCTCAGAGGTGTGGAGGGGGGGGACTTTTGTCAAGCTGCATCACAGCAGCCCCAGCTTTCTGGATAGGCAGGCTACACACCCAGCCTCTCAGCCCTCTTTCACTAGAACTTTCCGTGACGCTGATCACGGCGTGCGTTCCCGTCCTCGCACCATTAGGAGGCTCCTCCGCTACGATAGCTCTGTGTTACCTCCATCCACCGGTGTGCCCCCCCCCCCCCCGACGGGTCCCCAAGCCGTTAAACACTCCCAGTTTTGCCACCCCCTTGGGGGAGCCCACTCGGAAACGGGGTTAATATAGGTCTCCTGTGAAAATAAACACTCTGCAGCATGTTACTCGATTTACTCCTCTTTAAAATCGACTCGCAATAAGAGAAACAGACCTGGGCACAATTACCGGCACAGCGCTGGACCGTGAAATCAACACGCTGGGAGCGGCTGCCGTGCTCCAACACGCAGCTAAGGCCGGCCGACCCACTGATTACATCCACTTCTCTAACCACTTCTTCACCACGCAGCCCTGAACTGTTTAAATTGGGCTTCCTCCCTCTGATCCCATAACCCCTTATGTCATCTCCATCGACGGGTTTGAGGTCGCCTTGGTTATTTTCAGCCACGTTGCCGTACAACAAAAACTCACTCCGTTGTTTCAGAGGGAGATCTTGTGTATCCTCTGCCTGAAGACAGTAAATTCTTTGCTCTTCTTCCAAGCGTCCCACTTAGATATTGGGTTTCTAGAGAACCCGACCACCCAGCTACAATAAAAGCATGGCGCACGGAAAACGGGATAATTAATAGCACAGCGGGGGTTATGGTCACTGGCATGGAGGTCCCGGTCGGAAAGCTCCGTTCTGTCATTGGGAACGTCATTAGTTCTGGTCTGTAGGCCGGTATTCCGAAACCAGTAAAATTTTCCGGTACAAAAATCCAAAACTTGGGAGTTGGGTTTTTTTTTTGTAATTTTAATACTATAACTTCACTCAGCTTTCTAGTGATGGATATAAAGACTAATCATATCAGTAATCAATCCATTATTCATAAATTATCTCATATATTGATTACAACAGGAAGGATACCAGACTGCCCATATAGGGTGATATTTTTTTTTTTGAGCCACTGCACAAAGAATGCGATCATCCAGTCATCACAGGAGCCAGTTTTCTTAGACCAGACCGTCAGTCTTTGATGACCGTAGCAGCGGGTGCATATAGCTAATTGGTCGTAGCCTCCAGCCCATCAGTTAACATGAGGACTGTGGGAGGGTGCAAAGCAGATCAGTCACATCTACATGATCGCTGTTGTTTTCCTTGGGATGATATTAAGCTCAGTTTGGAATGAGGCTTTGGAGCTGGTACAGCTAATCTCTCATCAGTTTTGCTGAATTATAGATAAGCTCTAGGACAATAAGCAATAGGATTCAGTCCCCCCCCCCCAATGTCACGCCCTGGCTGATGCCAAGACTCCTTCCAGACCTCATGGGGTTGTGGGGGAGGGGGCCTCAGGGTCATCTGCCAATCGGCCAGGTTTCCAGAACACTCTAATTGGAGAGAGGGTCTTCAGGAGTGTGCGGGAATGAAGGCAGCGGGAGCAGATGCCGGCAGGGTGCAGTTGTCCCCCCCTGCCTCCCCATGCTGACACCGCCCCCTCTGTCTTGCAAGGGCTGCCGTTCCGTGCCATCTGCCCCCCCCCACCCAGATTCATTAAGGGGCTGCTAAACCAGCTCGCTACTGCATGCAGAACAGATGCTGTCGTGCTCCCCAAGGATGTAAAGCCCCTAGATCCTGCCCTAGGGAGGTGGGGCACCTGTGGCTGGCGAGAGGTGGGGTCCGAGTCTGCCAGGCCCTCCGCCACAGCTAAAAAACCTACAGGCTGTGCAATACATCAGAAAGGAAATACCCCTAAAAGCCCTAACCAGAAAACACAGGAGGAAAAACATGATAGAGATCTATAGACGTCCCATAGGAAAAGCAGGCGCTTGGCAGAAAAGCGAGGAGTCTAGCCACCGCAAGTGACGGATCGTCAATATGAGGACAGGAAGTGATGACATCAGCACAGAGGTGCTACAGCAGCGCACAATACCCGCTAATCCCGGGATAGTGCTATGTGCAGAAATCAAACTCCCTGGATTGACCCGAGGGCCCATTAGCATACAGAATGGCCGGTCAGGAGGACAGACCAGAGAGGCACCTGGGAATGGAGGTACTCAGTGCACATTTCAGGAATGGCGTGGACCGTCAGCACCAAAGCACCTTTCAAGACCCCCTCGAAGACCGGGGGGTGGGGGGGATCTGCTGGTGGCCACACCCCTTCCACTTGAAAAAGGAGTTTGATCTTCTACCAAAACATCCACTCTTGGGATTCTGTACTGTTTCACTTTTACAAGGTGGTGGTGGTGGGGGGGGGGGGGTCGTTTAAACACGCCTGAACATCTTCACCGCTGACGAGATAAGAATGAGCGTAGCCAGAGCTTCTGATCCTTCTTGTCTTGCAGGTACGATATCAAATGACATCACCGCACGCCCAGAAAGCACGGCACTGCCCACATGTGTGTAAGCAGGAAATAATTTATTTATTTTATACTCTTGAATGCATTGGTGGACAACTGTGCTGCAAAGTGTCATGGGATGCCACAGTTACCTTGCTTTGGTATATATGCTAACTTGTTAACTGTCTCCTCCCAGGAAAGTCAAGTCTGAGTGGGGGGGGGGGGGGGGGGGGGGGGGGAGGGGGGTGAAACCCCCAACACGATCATTAACCACTTAGATTCCAGAGCACACAACCATCTCCAGTTAAATGGGGATCCCAAAAAGTCACTACAGGGGATGTATTAATTAAGCATAGGACACAACACACATTTAGCACCTGTGGCTAAAGGCTGCAGTGCTAACAGTGTGAGTTCAGCATTGGCATTAATGTGAACTTCTGGGAAAATTTAAGGGGCAGCCCCCACATGGGAGCCCCTTGAGCCTGGTTTTGCTTTGCTGTGAAGGGATAGGAACATTAAACGATCCCAGAGAGGCGGGGCCTTGCGGTACATCTCACATCACATCATTTATCAGCTAACAGTCCTCCCGGGTTGCCACTAAGCGCTAATCCAGGCAGCGAGGCGACCGCAGACAGGGAGATCGCGCCCAGCTGGCCGCCCTCAGGGCTGCGTCCGCAGATCAATACCCCAGAGCTGCACCCCTACACCCCCAACACTGCACCCCAGCACTCTGAAGGACAAAGCCGGGTCTGTACATGACCTCACACAGCCCACAGCCCCTGATGGTGATGGGGAACAGACGAACAGGAGGCAAATCCCCTGGGCATTACAGGTCACTGACAAAGGGTCTTTGTCTGGTCATTGCTTACTCCCCCCAGCCCGATACCTCATGGGTTTATCGCCTTCAGGAAATGCCTCTTTTTAACTGACAGGTAGGAGATTACCATCTACAGCCACCCGGGACGTAATCTCCGCCTGGTTATAGCCATGCTTGGGCTCACATGTCATTTGTTTACATTGTGCCAGCGATCCCAGACAAAGGGGTCTGGTTCAAAGGTATTGATTGATTTGTACTGTTCCTGCTGTGAGGGGCCGGGGGGGTGTGTGTGTGGGGGGGGGGGGGGCGCCAGCGAGGCTGAGCTGTCTGGAGGAATAACCAATGAATGACTTCTTTCTTGATCCATACTTGGTCCACTGATTCCTTACTCAGTAGAAGAGGCTGTCCTAGGAGGACGGACAGTTTGGGCTATGTGACTGGGTGGACGAAACGGAAGGAGCTTTCATCACACCCTACAGAGCCCCAGCTGTGGTGAGCTTAAGGACCCGGGGGGTGGGTTGTTGGTTCTGGTCCTGGGAGGAACGCTGTGTAAAACAGATTAGGAAACATCACATCATGAGATTCAGCAGAAAAGTGGCTCCAGCTTTAAGACACTGTGCACACGTGGCTGTAAATGTCAACCGATAAATCCTACAATACAAATGAGGAGCAAATTTCCAAAACTCAGTCTATTTCTGTGGACCGAGTGAGTTTTGGAAATTTAATGAAAGTTCTTTGTTGGGTTACAGGAGGACTGAGTGAGTTTTGGTTCCCAGTGTTGTAACATGTGATATGGACGGCCAACTTTTGGTCATCTGAGTCTTAAGAGCAGCAAAAAAATTGAGATTTGGAAATTTGCTCTTGAATTTCCAATTTTAAAATATCT